CAGGGGACATCCTGTAGATGCGGCCCTTGGGAGGGACCGCTCCAGGCAGCAGCTCGATGTGATGCTTGGTTGGCCGGTTGGGTAGTCCAAAGGGCTCCTGCATCAGATCAGCATATTGATCTACCACTTGCTGTATCTCCGGAGGACAGGAAACAGGGGGAGCATCTTTTTGTGTGACCAGAGCAATAAACAGACGCTCATGGTGGTACTGGCGAGAGAGAGCATGAAACTCCCTCGCTCTCAGGCAGTAGCTGGAGGTCTTAGGGTGGTGATCAACAACAATCATGCATCGCTGATACACCCCCTCGCTGTTTGATAGTTCAACTCTATGGATCTGCCAGTCGATCCTAGGGTTGACTGCACTCGACCACTGCATGGAGAACACCAAATCAAAGGGCAACTCAGGGAAAATGTAGAAGTTCAGACTATGACTGACTTTTCCTGCAGTATCGAAGGTCACAGGGATGCCCTTGAACTTCTCCCTGATGCTGAGTACTATAGAGTCACCAATTCGCACCAGCAGCGGTTGCTGCAACTGCTGAACTTTCATGCCCAGGTGTAGCTTTTTAACTGCACTGGGAGACATGAAGTTCCTGGTGGCCCCACAGTCCAACAGCCCAGTGATCCTGGTGTTGTTGATCAGAGGCCGAAGCATGATGAGTTCAGACTTGCTCTTCTTATGTTCTTTCAGATGGAAGAAGAAAGCTGCAATAGATTGAAGCTCATCGTGCCCCGGGTCCTGATCCGGGTCAAGATCCTCATAGCAGAAGGATGCTGCCCGCGCAATCCCCAAACAACCATCATCACAACGAGTCTCAACTGAAACAGCTGTAGATTCACCTACCTGAGTAGATGAAGATGCAACACTGGAGGGAACTGCAGTCCCCAGGGTCTATTTCAGTTTTTTGACTGACTACCTGGGCCTGGCATGTAAGGCCAGTCCTTGAGGAAGTGTTGGCCCTCACACCTTAGGCAAACCCCTCTCTCCTTTCTTCTTCTCTAGACTCCCTCCTGAATCTTGAGGTCATGCCAGGGGAGTGTGGAGGGATTGAGAGGTTCAGCTGGCATGTGGACGTCTCGAGGCAGGTTTGGGCGCTGGGAAGAGGAAGGTCGATGTCCCTTATCCTTCCCCTTAGTAGTGGCTGAGGCTGTGGTGGGGGAGTACTTTTTTTGTGCCTGCAGAGCTCCCAACACAGCCTGAGTCGCCACTGCTGCAACATTTGTCTCAGCAGCAGATCCGGTCCCACCTGAAGGCACATCAGGCTGGGAATCGACATCTGATCCTGAGGCAGACCCCGTGTGAGTAAAGGCTGCCTTTCCCCTTCTGTTGCCTCTAGGGAAGGCACCTTTCCTCCTGTCAGAGGATGGGGCCTGGACATGGAGCTTGGCATCCATTTCCAGGGCTGCACGGCCAAAGGACCTCCAGTCCTTGTGCCCAGCGCTGTAGAGTGCAACAGCGAACTTCTCAGGCGCTGCCTTGCAAAAGCTGGTCAACATATCATCAGGTGGCATGACCAACCCAGGGGTGGACGTGAGCTGCTCGAATTCAGCAAACAAGGCCTGTAGGGTACCGCTGTACCGCTGCTGTCCTAGGCGAGCAATCCTGTCAGCAGCCTTGCGGGCCTGCTCCTTTTCTGCAAACCGGTCCTCCAGGGCCTGCAGAAGTCTGTCTACCCCCAAGCCAAAAGCCCAGTCCTCCATGGACTGTTGCAGGCTGCTAGAAGTTGAGGTGGCCCACTTCAGTGCGGGCCCTTCTAGCAGTCCCATAACAATTGCCACCTTGGTTTGTTCTGCACAGACAAAGCCCCTCAAGTAGGCTCTGGTCCCAGCAGCCCAGTCCCCAACATCAGTCTTAGGGTCATCGCCCCTGAACTTGTTGGGAGCAGGGATCTTGGGACCTCTGTCTGCTGCAGTCACAGCAGCATAGGTGGCCTTTATTGAGGCCTTTTGGGAAGGGGTAGATGACCGGGAAGAATGTGCAGATCCAGCATGGGATGGATGAGGGGAAGGAGGTCGTGAAGGAGGAGGGGAGGGTTTTAGGTTGCACAAGGGGGAGCTGAGGAGTAATCAGCTTGGCGGCTGCCAGCTGAGCAGATAAGCCCTGGATAGAGTTCAGGATCTTGGACTGCTGAGCTGACAGCTCGTCAACCCGACGCTCCAGCCGCACAAAATGGTCATCCCAGTTTGTGAACTGGGAGCTGGTGATCTTGTGCTCCAACAAGATCATCTCAGCCATATGCTTGGTGATCTGGGCACAACGATCATCAGTGAGCGACCTCTCTAGCTGCTGCAACAGATACTCCCTTCTGGAGTGATCTGTTGCAGCCTCTAGCTCTGCAGCCTCCTGCCGTTCCAATTCTGCTACTCTGGCCTGTTGCAGCTTGAGCTGTTCTTCCGCCTCCTTCTTCAGCCTCTGAGTAGCAGTCAGAGGTGGAGGGGGGGTAATGGAGGTAGAAGGTTGAGCACCATCTGCCTTCACCACAACTTCTACCTGTGGCTGCTGCTCATTTCCCTGATCCGACATTTTCCCAATTCAAATAAAAACCAAAATAAAATAACAGCAGGCAGAGCTGCAGTGATACTCAAATTCCTGCAGACACACTGGAATCGCTGCAGCAACTCAACACTGGAATAGGTGGGTGTACAGGCAACAACGGTTTGGGTTAGAAGGGTGTCACTGGGGTCAGGTGTCAGACAGACTGTAAGTCTAGCAAAATCTGTCACACGATTTCCTTTTACTGACCCTGGACGACACAGGGGTCAAGTGTCACTCCATTACTTTTCCAGAGACCCACTAGAATTTCCAGTGCCCACTAGAAAACAAGCGTAGTCAGTGGGAATGATGGAAGATGGTTAGAACCGACACAGCGAGATCAAATGCACCAAGCGATGCAGACAGTTACCCTGTATCCTGACCCAGACTCAATTTTAGTCCCTGATGACTGTGTCGGCCATACCCTAAGGTATGGCGAATCACAGTTTTCACTGTATCCAGTGAAATACTAGAAATCCAACTCTGCGATTTAACAGTACTGACTATTTTTAAATTGCGATTCACTGGGGACTGACAGAACTGGATTCTGACGGACAGAATGGAAGTTATGACTGACCCTAGGTAGCACAGGCTAAAAATAGACTCAGCGCAAAACAGCAATTCACAGTATCACTACCTTTCCAGTACAGAATTCACTGTTTAAGCATCCCAGGACAATCGCAATACAGTATAGCAGTCACAGAACCAATTTGGACCAGAAAGAGTCAACAGAGGCTGAGATATGAGTAGAGAGAGGTAGGGGAGAGATGGCTATGGCTGTCAGGCAGTCTGCGATTTTCACATCCAGTCACTGTCAGACAGATAAACCCTTATCTCGCCAATTTTCTCCAGAGCTTCTTCCTGACAATCCCACGCACAGAACTGCTTCAAAGTCGTTGATCCCCCTCAGGATCCTGTAGCGCTGCACTCCCTTACTCCAGATACCCTGTATCTGGTCCTGTGGCACCCAACTCGCCAACACCAAAATATCTCGCCACAGTGCCTGGTTGCCGCTGATGCTAAAAATAGCCCAGATGGGGATATTTCTCCTGGAGATTGATACAGTAGGTCAATCTCTCTCAGCGCAACCCAGGGATGATGCCGCTCAGGGTTCCCTGATGTCCTCAGGGGTAATTCGCCACTCTGGGGTAACTCACTGTATCACCCTCAGCTGACAAGCGCCCTGACAGGCTCAGTGCGCTTGCTCAGTGCCACCACTGAACACTTGAATCCACCGTAGAAAATCTTCTTCCCTGCTGACTCAGTACTGGGGAAGATGAATCACCAGGGGACTCTCGCCAGTATGTTGCCAGATGAAGAAGATGCCCCAGTGCGCTCAACCCTCAGTGCTCCAATTCCAATCTCGCTCCGATACCAACTGTTATGAACTTGGTTGTCTGACGAATTTTATCGCCACTCACACACAGACAATCTCACACATGCCCATACATGCATAAGAGAAGGGGAGAGAGGAGACAGAGTCCAAACTGCACACAGGTAAAGATAAGCAGCGGAAGACAATCATGCACAGATGGGAAGAGAACACAGTGTTTCTCACTCTCTGACACAACTCCCAACARCCAATCACAAGAAAGAACYTGCGAAGATCACAATTGAAAATGACACTGACGATGAACCACTCACACAATTATCGTAACAGAGTTTGTTCCAGTATCTCRCCACCCTCAGAACTCTCACCCCACTCTCTATCCTACACCCAGTTAGTAGCGCTGCATCAGAACAGCCTCCCAGAGGCCAGCGCCAACCACCCTGATGAAGAAYAGGTCCTGCGATGRAGTCTTCAGTGCCG